ATTAAAATAATAACTCGTATAGGAGTTAACTTGGAAAGAAATATCCCATAGTATCATTGCAATCGCTGATGGCAGTCTAAAGCTCTTTTCACATTTAATATTTATGGCGCCATCATATGCCTTGCTATCTCACCTGTACTCGTAAGCCGTGTAACGTTTCTCGTCTGATGAGCACATGCGCAGTCACTCCAGTCCATCGATCGACATTAATTTCAGCTTCACCTTCTTTAAACACATGGTCATGTACCACAGTGAATTGTGGTGCCTATGTGGTAATACAAACAACAGGTGGTTCAGTGTCGTCTATCGTAGATTTTACGATGTTTTTATTACATGTCAAGGTCTCCGTATACCAGTGGAATATACTCACTTTAATATCAAGCAGTAACAACACGAGAAATGGTGCATGCAAATTCTGGAATAAATTATTAAGGTATTTTTCCGGCTCTAATATCACGGTATTTGCACATACATTGTACATATCTTATATATATTTATATTGATGTGTGTACTCACCCTAATTTGTACCAAAGCTTGCGGTGGCTGACTACAACGATCTACAAACGTTTTCGTGATAATATGATAACCGTTATAGGATGAATTACACCATGCCTCGGATGTATAAAAGGTACAATTATGATCAGCAGCACCTGTACAACAAATACCAATATGGTGTTTTTTTTCTTCAGAAATTGAAATTTCACTCAATGCTCCATTTATGAGATTTAGTTTCTTTTCTTCAAAAGAGTACACGTGCTATTGGACACGCGTTGTAGGTGTATCATTGTGATATTGGACATCCCTGTTATGTGTAATTTCATTTAATGACATTGCCTCTATTAACGATGGCCAAAACTATTCAATATTATCACGTTGTCACAGCGATCGATCATACTATGTCAATGCCCTTGTACATGTGCACACATGTTTAAGAAGTGTTCACAGCGATACCACTTACACCTGAGCATGCGCAGTCATTTATTCTAGAACCTTGGACTTTTGCGATTCCATACATTGCGATTAGTTCAGGTCACTTATTAGAATTAGTTTTCACGTTTTTGTAAATCATATACAAATAGTTTGTATTAGTAACTGTGCAAATAAACAATGCTAACTTCATTTAGTGAGCCATTGACAACCATTGCCCGAACTTCATTTTTTTTCTTTTTAATTATTTCATACGCCAGAACGGTTAATTCAGTACAGTGTTCAAAACTGGATGTAAAGTGAATAAATATCAACTCAGAATAATAGAAATGAAAGATACATATCTTACCTATATGATAGAAGGATATGATCAGTGTTAAAACAGCACGCAGCATACTGTGATAATGAGACTGCAACGACAACAATCAAACACACAGCCAAGTGTCTGGAGCCGTGTCAGATGAACCGATGCCTACCTTGTCTAACCCATACCGCAGACTGAAATGACAAGGAAAACAACAACGTATTTATCGGTGTGGGAGAACAAAGCCGACTCAATGCATCGTTGGTGATGCCCACACATTAATACACGGATCGACCTCACATGGCCTTGGCATCTATTCATAATAAAACGAGGTCGTTTAATAAAACCTTGATGACCCTCGATTCTATTCACGGAAGCATACATTGTCAGGTTCATTGACAAACACAAAGGTAATTTTATATGGGGTCATTGTTACGTAACAACTAAATGGTATGTATGTATGCGTCACGTTGTTACAGGGTCAATTGAGACGGAATAAACAGCGAATCAACTTGAACTAAAGCGTGAGTGTGAAAATAAATATTCTCTTACCACGAATACCCCCACTCTATTTTAAGTCATTTTCATCAATTGCCAACCTATTTGAAACTGTTTACATAATATTAATATTTATAATATTGAATTGTATTACATATCAAATGATATTGATGTTAATCATGATCTGGTTTCAAACCAGTATTATTGATATGAACACTGATATGATAACGACAAATTTATTTTGACAACTTTCTTTCAGTGTTGAATATCTTATTATCAAGGGCTCACGATTGGTTCATCGCGTTGGTGTGTCGGATAAATGATACGGCGTTCAATGAAATGAAATCACTACAGCTAGAACGATGTTTGGTTCAGCATGAGTTCTGAAAACGCCCACTCACTCCCTGTCCTCGACTATTTTATATGTAATACAATACTAAAGATTACGAGCAGTACGACGTCGTGTTATTGCCCCGAACAAGACTTCGTATGTTATTGTTGACGGACTTGTTGTCAACGTCACGGCACACCGCACTACGCGACAGACTGTTTATGTTGGTCACGTGATCGTATGAACGCATGGAACATATCGAGTCATTCAATATATGCAGTTCAAGTTGATACCAGTGTTCAAAACCAGAGATATGATCCACGTACGCATGCAGTATTTCTTCGATTCATTGCAGTGTGAGTGTTTCTGAGTACAGAGGTATGCGTTGGCATATCACTTACTTGTAGTGCACGTGATAGTCCTTTTTTGTTATACGGCATATTGATTCGCACGGACGGGTATCCATGGTATATCCGGCCTCCTTTCCCGTGGAGCTAATATAAGTTGAAGTTCACGAGTCAATTAGTATGTAGAGAAGAGCTTGACGCCATTGTCTTCATAGTATTACAATAAGTACCGAACACTGCAGCTTGAAATTATCTCATATATTTATTCTGTGTATTCTTATGAATGTTTAGACAATAAATACATATCACAGGCCACCTGTGATGCCTCCCAGATTATAGTTCTTATGCTTAGCGGCCTATAAGTAGATGATCCTGGCATACTGTGTTGAATGAATTCAAGGCCTGTTATTTGCTACGAAATTTAACTGGTGATTAATTAGTACATTTGGTTATAACTTTATAACGAGTACAAGTATAGACCATACTTGTTCTTTCGTTTGAGCGTTTATGCAGTTACATCGTTTCTTCCTATATTTAGCGTATTGCTTAAGCCAATACCGCTCTCCCATGACTCACATTGTGAACAATGTAACACATGTTCTTTCTCTATCCATCCTCAGCTCTCTGCACGCATCCATGTTTGCTTGGCTTCACAGATAAAGTGGTAAGCCGGCACATATTGAATTACTAGAGGGGAATGAAAACGTAAATTATTCGTTGCGATCGGCCCAGCATGAAAAAAAAAATCAAAATTCTTTGGCTGGTAAACTATGAGTAAACTGTATTCAATGAACTTTTCTTATGTAGTCCTAAGAATCCTCGCGTTATCGGAATCTAAAACGGCGTCTCCCGGGCTTGCTGTCTAATTGGGAATCAGCAGGTCGTCGAATTGACCAATCAGGGGTCCTTGATTTTGACCGATCGACAATGACTTTAACTATCCAATTCATTTTCTCATATATAAATTCATGTAAAAATTATTTTATCAGAAGTTTGTGTTTTCTGTAATAACCGTTGTTTGTTGTTTTTAACTCTAATGGTTGTGCTTATTTTGATGACTGTCGTCGACTTTCAAAAATATCCGTTTTCCTTGCACTTTATGCATATATGCAATGTAACGTGATTGGACACATTACATGTAACTGTAAGCTTCTTATGAATAGCAGTGCGCTGTTTTTGGACGTACATATTCACAATCCTAATATATCTACAAGTTCAAAAAATGTGAAATGACAACGCGCTTAGCTCATATTGAAATTACCAATGGTTTGGTGATTCTTGTAATTACGCCCTCAGCGGAAACTAGTATAAATCACTTTTATTTCCTAAATGTTTATATCAGACACGTTGAGGGCGGTAAATGAACTTCTGGGTGTGTATAGGGTAGAAAACTGGTAGAATATGAACATAGAGGCAAAGCTGACTTGTTTATTTTTCGCCAGGTTTCTATCTTATTTAGTCCGCCAGACTGATGGTTTTGTAAGTCCATGAGGTAATGAGTTGTTCGAAGATTAAATACTAGTACGTAATGACAACAGAGAAAATTGAGAACTGGATAAAAACCTGCAAAACAAAATAGTGAAAAAAGTCATTGACAAAAATATTGAAAACAATATAGAAATCTATAATATAAATTCAACATAAAAAATAGAAATGAAAATAGCAAATCAAAAATGTATATATAATAAATAAACAAACTGTTTCAGTTATTGCAAAAACAATTTGAGAGAATATAGAGTAAAGTCCAGTTGCAAACTTTATCATGACATAAATCTAATTTGAACACAAACAATGTGACAGACACCACCCGACCCTCGCCTCAGACACCACGCAAAGCAATGACCTTCTCACTCGTCAAAATTTGACATGAAAAATATTACAGAGATGCGCAGAAATCTTGTTTAAGGTCAATGACACTTAGTTGAATATATGGGCACACATGCTACTGCACATCGACAAGTCAGCTCAAAAACTGTGTTATATTGTGTGGTCACGTGACCATTACATGATAAAAGTCAACTCTGGCTGAAGACTTTCTACTTTTGAATGGGGAGAAAAAAGCACAAATAAAGAAACAGTGTACTACGCAAGCAGCATGGTGACCTATATTATCGTTTATTTAATCAAACACGCACTTACTAACATCTTTGTTTAAATGAAGGAGAGAATCGACAATGGTAGCTTGAATCGAGCCAGTATGTCTAAGTGTGTCCGGTATGGGATCATATGGCAACATTTTATTCACCGAGAACATTCATTGCAGCTAAAGAGCGCTCTCAAACTGCTGCACATTGTAAATGGCATAACCGCATACTAACTGATTAATGTACATGACATCGTTTGATGTATACCGGGTTTGGATTTCAAATTTACCTGATGTTGTGTAATCATTCCATGTGTACACAGACACCAACATGGCAGAATTATGGAGACATAATTAAATCCTGATTTTATTTTCATGGGAACGTAAAGAATGCATCATATTATATGGACCTATGGGCTGACAACCTGTTGATCAAGTTGACTAAGCCAAGTCTATGCATAGAGGGCGCTATCGATCGACATTAACGCAAAATAGCCCCAGTAATACACAAACAAATATCACAATCAATTACAGAAATACGATCATGTTTTATTCTAGTTTAATACCCGGACATGTATCTATGACGAGCTTATAAAAATTTCGGATCTCTAGTAAATATGTGTCCATACAATCGTTGTCATTTCGTAAGTAAAACAAAGCTGTACGAACTGTATGAAGAGGTTCTTTTGATATTAAAGAACAATCATTAGTCATAGTGGATATATACCATCAAATCATTAATTATAGTAAAACTAATTGTATATTGAGAAGTTAACAAATCTGATGTGCTCGTCACAAGATGGAATAATAGTTCAATAACTGAGCAAGTCATAGTAGCATAATATCTGGTAGTCATATCTAGCATAATTTCATCAGTGATATTATCACAATTTATGATAATCACGATAACCCTAGATGTCATGATTCGTCGATTCCGTGGCTGGATGTTGCTATCTCCTGGTATGACCGACGTCATGACGCCAGTTTCGTATCTGGATTTTCTCCTTTCCACCTATTGGTCATTTTTTTCCGCTTTGAGTTTTTTCTCTCTTGCTAGAAAAAAACAAAAACAAATAGACATAAGTATATATATATTTTTCTATTTCTGTCTATACACATTGAAAGTGCACATCAATAAAATGATCTGTAATGTTGTGATCCGGCACTAGTTTAACTTGATGAAGAGAATTCATCACACCTGACATATTTAAACTTCACCAGATACCAGTAGTGTTGGTTGTTTTCAAAGCAATATGCGGTCAAAACCATAACTATATTGTCACAATGTTGAAGATATGATTCCACCCATTTTTAGTATTTTTTAATGCATTGAGGATTCAAAGATTCATATGTATGTGAATAGGCACGCATACATGTCAAACTAAACTAACGAATCATCGACTGACCGCGATAAGCAGCTACGAATGTAGCTTTTATTTTTCTAGTCATGTAATTTGTTTGTGTAAAGTTCCGATGTATACGATAACTTAAAACACGATAGTTGTTTATCAGAACCGCGAACAATCTCGATGGATTGAGCAATGTTAAATTCCCCATTAGTCATTGTAGGACCCGACTAGTACTTTACGAAAGATTGACACATACATTGTTGGAACGGGGAGTGGTTACGTTTAAGACAATCACTAAATATAAATAAATATATATATGAGCGCATTTTGTTTCGATTGGCAGTAAATCAAATGTCAATATAAGTTCGACCGAGTTAGATCTGGTTTAGTCCAGATTTTTAGTTTACACTAAAACTCGCTGCTCACATTTCGCTGTCTGAAACAATCAATGATTTACCAATAACAGTTATGAAAACAAATATTAAAGAGATTTTTATTTTAGTGAGAACAGACTGTCACATTACATTGAAAATATATCACATTTTAAACATGACACACAATAGTAGTATTTTTTCATGACTTTGTTCAAAACTTGTTGTTGGTATTTTGACCGAGGAAACATGATGGGCGCCAAAGAACAACATGATGTGGAAATATATGTATTAAATATGTCTTACCTTCTCTGAGTTTCTGTTGGACTACTGTGTTCAAAACAGAATCATTATCCAGTGGTTCTGCAATGCGCACGCCAGTACCAATCTCACCTGTCGCATCTTTTAACCTCGCCTTGGTATCAACATTACAGTAGTCGGACTCGTCGGCCATATTAGTTGACGTTACGAAGGACAAACACACGTTATACAGAGTAAAAATATTGTCTATTCGTGACTGCATTTGGTGTGATTCTATCACACCTGTCTGTTGATGTCGACTGTCCGAGCACAGAAACGCCACTAACTTCATTACAGACGGAGTGACAGCTGTGTGGTTTTGGAAACTCCCATTGTGTCATTCCTAATACGGGAGTTTCGGCAAGGAGTTAACGAGTTCTTCGTAGTACGATGACGAATATTTTTGTTGAATACCCATTAAACTTGGATAGTCGGGACTTTTAGTGAAAAAATACTGCCGAAGATTGAATAATATGTTTACAAAGAACACGAACATTCTGCATGATATGATGACCCCACTGGCCAATCAGGAGTCGGACTATCCAATGCGTGACATTCACCATATTTGTCACAGGGGTCGTGCATTTTTCTGCTTTAGCCAATTTGCTGATTTCTACACGATAAATTGTCGAGACTGGAAAGAACGCAAACTACAACCGTTATGTCGACAATAAACTATTGTAGCATCCTGGCTACCGAGGCGTTACACGAATAACACTATTATTGATGTATTTCACAACTAAAATTTCAGTTTTCCAAACTGTTTATGCACTGACACTCATTTCAGTCGACCAATGGGAGAGCATTACGTGTTGTCAGAGATATTTTGGTAGCGTAATCAACGAAAATGGAATGAAAAACGGTAAGTTATTGGTTAACTAATTTTTATAAATTATGCGAAAAAAAAGTATAAAAGTCGAAAAATATCGCACCATTGTATGTTTTTGTCACACAAAACACCAAAATGCCTCGCGAGTTAGATACTGACAA